GTGTGGGCAAGAGAAAGAGAGTTGTTTTTTTTTTTTTTACTTTTCAGTATGTTCACACAGGAAGATGGAAGCTAAGGGTGAGAAAACGAGACATCACTCACAACCCCACACCTCCAGACAACAGAAATCCCAGGGGAGCCCTGTACGCATGGCAGGTATGCATTCAAAGGCCATTACCAAAACACACTGAGCACCTCACTTTGCATTATGTATACCTTGATTTAAAATAATAATTAAACAGAAAGAAAGGAGAGGAGCTGGGAGTGATCTCTATGGATCTACAGATTCTATGGCCATGAGGAGCTTGAGTTCTCTCCCCACAAAAGTCCCAACGACCAGGGAGGTTATGAAACCCCAGGCCAACATGAAAACAGGGAGAGTGTGCATCTCTAACAAGCCCTCAGCCCCCACTTCTCAGACCCTTCCCCCTGCCCACCCCTCATCCCCCACCAGTGAGCGCCTCCTCAGGAAAACCTGTGAGAGACCTGAGATGGGGAAAGACTGCTCCGTGTCCTGTCTAGTGCATAACCAGTTACCAGCTTCTGCAGGGCCTGCTCCTGTCACTGTCTTGGGCTATTTGACAGCCCAAACCCTGTGGATGGGAATCATTTGCTTTGCCATTGGTTTTCTCCAACTGGACGCTGATAGCAAAGCAAATGATACTCGTCCACAGAAATGTAAATACACTTCTTCTGCTGGCTGTGCAACCTGTGGATAGCAGGAAGTTTAGCATTTCTTTGTAAATCCATTTCAGCATCCCTGAGGGCCTGTGCATGCATCTGCTCTATGGATTCTCCTTTGAGCCTGTTGTAATATCTTGCAGGTTTCCCCACTTAACAGAAAGTTCAATACTATCTTTGACACATTAAAAACATATCGAGCATCTACCATAGGCCAGGTTCTGTGGCAGGTGTTTTCCAGCACAGCAGGCAGGGAAACTCCTATCACAGGTAGGACAAGATGTTTGCCCTTCCAGCTCAGTAGTGGCCACAGCCCCCATCCCATCCCTGGGCACCACGCAGGGCAAACTGTCTCCAATTACCACGTGCAGAATCCTGTGGGATTAGCCCCTGTAACATGGTATGTCCTCATGTTTCCACAGCCCTCCAGGACTCCCAAACTACTGACTAAACCACTAAAGAGAGTGAATCAGAAGACGATTTCTCTTTGACACTCTACAAAATTAAACATCAGACTAAGTATCACAACCTTCCTGCCTGTGCTCCAGGAACCTGGTGAAGAAAATGAAGATCTCAGGGTTGCAGTTCAAAATGAGGTATGGGTAGGGGGACATCCACCCACTGGAACCGGGAAGGCACCAGGACCTGGGCTAAACCTATTCCTCACTCTCCTTTCCTCAGTCCCACCCTGTGAAAATGGGACACTGATGGGGAAGCAGGTACTGGTGAGGCCGGGTGACGTGGGCTGGGGTCAGGTAGGGCGGGCTGGAGTGGGGCAGGGGTGAAGCCACCTAGCTGTGCACAAATGGGACCACAGAGCAGCCAGTCTGAGGGCTCCAACTGGTGCACAGGGAGAGCTGGCATGGAAGACACCTGGGAGCTCCCAGATGCAGTCAGAGTCCCAAGCGCTTGGGTGTATCCCAGTACTGGGACAGGTACACCTTTTGAAAATAAGCTAGTTATTGGGAACCCTGCTGCTCTTGGACCTCCCTGGAAACTGAGAATGAACAATGCGTGTGACTCCAGAGACGGTGCGCTCTGGTGCCGTAGCCCCGCTCCCTAAGCTCAAACACACCAACCCAAACAAACACCAATACAGAATCCCACCCTAAAGTCATTTCCACTATTTGCTCTGTCCACGGGTGTTTAGGACCCACCTTGTAAACAGCCTCCTGGATGCGGGCCTTAAGCTTGGAGCTCCCGGTCTTCATCCCAGACACCAGGATGGTATCCCCTTGCTTGGCCGCCTTCTCCATCTCTGAGATGTAGGAAGGAGGGATATATGTAGACTCCAAGAAAGTGAGGATTCTGGAAGAAGAGCATGTCATCAAAGCTCATTCGTCAAACCTGAGCACAAGGTTCAGCAGAATCTAATACCACGTTCACTTCTGTCAACACCCGCCACTACAAGCCGGACACTGGAATAAGTGGTGCCCCCTCTTTGGTGCTGCCTAGAAACATGCCCCTGCAGCCTCCTACGTCCTCATGAAAAATGCAAGTTCTGGGCCCCTGGCCCAGACTGTCTGAAGGGAGCCTGGGAATCTGCATGTTATCAAACTCCACACATGAGAACCTCCAGCTTAGTACAAACAGTCCAAATGGGAAAAGTGAAGCCCAAGAAAAACAGGCCACAGGCCCAAGACCACCCGCCCAGCCCGGGCAGCATCAGCAGTGCCCATCGGTCCCCGGAGCTGCTGGTCACACTCCAGCCCTCCCCTCTAGCAGAGTGCCTGACTTTGGGAAATGATTCTCAGTGACCACCTGCTCCACACTGAGCTTTGGGGATGGGGACGGCCTCACATCTCACTCTCTCTGGGCTGGGGGAGAAGTCAGGATGTGGTGGCCCATCCCCAGAGTGTGGGGTGGCAGGCAGGGCTGGCTTGAGGGAGTCTCTTGATACAGTCTCTCATTCCAACCTGCAAGTTACAAATGTGCCCACCGTCCACCCCAAAAGAGCAATCTGCTGGACACGCTTCCATGCTCCTAAGCTCCACCGGACACTGTGCCATGCCATGAAGTATTTCCTCACCCAGTTTTACCAGCTGTCGTGTGTTGAACTCAATGAAAATCCAGGACAATCCAGTTCCAACACGCCCGAGTTTTGTGGATTTCAGTTAATATTCAGCTCATGTACGGAGCTGCCTGGAAGCTTGGGGTCTTGTGGCAGCAGCAAATGGGCCTAGTGGCCCAGAGGTGGGCAGTGCACCTGTGTTCCCTGAACATCTAGCATGTACCAGGCCCAGAGAGGGGCCCTGAGCCACAATCAACCTGCCGACCCACACAGTGGCCCTCAGAGGTGGACACAGTAATTATACACATTTTTTAGGGGAGGAAGCTGAAGCTCGTGTGGGTTACATTCCTTGACTAAGTCCACAGGCAGGAAGCAAGAAGGCCAGGATTGGAATCCAGGTGTCTTTGACTCTACAGTCCATGTTCCTGCTTTATGAAACATCAGAAATCCAGAGCTGGTCCAGGAGACAGATAGAGGATGAGGGTCCAGCCCCAAAGAGCTCTTACCCCAGGAGGGCAACTCAGCTTACACAGTGTCTGAGCATCTGCCCTGGAGACGGTGTGAGCTGAGCTCTAGAGAAGAGTGTGACAGAGACTTCACCACATTCCCACCATTTCCTACGGCCCTGAGTGGACTTTTAAAGGTGTAAATAAAAGACAAGGCTCTTAATGCATCCACGAAGTACTTATTGATTGCAAAGGGGTAAGAAAGTGACTTCATAGTGGGGAACCCTGGCAGATACCACCTCATCCAAGTGACCATCATCAGTAATAGACTGATTGGAATTGTGGCATCAAGCAATTAAAAGAATGTAGAATCTCACTTCTTCATATTCCTGCCAAAGATGCAGAGCTCTGAGTCCAGTCATGAGAGAACATCAGGTAAACCCAAAATGAGGGGTCGTCTACAAAATAATCACACTGTCACCATCACAAATGTCAAGGTCCCCAAAGTCAAGAAAAGACTAAGAAACTGTACCAGGCTGACTGAAACCCAGTGAAACAGGATGACACACAACATGTGACTCCGGGTTGGGTTTTTTTGGCTACAGAATTGGGACAATTGGCAAAGCTTGAATGAGGTCTGATGACTGTCACCCTCGGTGTTCACTTCCTAATCCTGATGACGGTGGATATGCAGGACTCACAACTCTTCCATAGGCTTAAAATTGTTGCAAAATTTCAAAAAATTAAATCTTCTTGCCCCCAAAGGGACTGTACTCTTTTTAAAAATTATTTAACAAAGCATGAGGAAATACAAGCACAGATCTTGGGTCTTCACCAGCACTGGCAAAGAGAAGGTTCCACAGAGATGAAAATGCTCTGTGCTTCTGCTCTGCCCAACAGGTCGCAGCACTAACCACGTGGCTAATGGGCCCTTGAAATGTATAGCCAGTGCATCTCAGGAACTGAACTCTTCGTTCTATCTAAAACAGCCAGATGGGGTTAGTGGCTACCATACTGGATAATGCAGATTAGACAGATCTGAGTTTAAATCCTATCTCTGCCACTTACCAACCTCAGACAAATGGTTCAACCTCTCCTAGCCTCAGAGTCTACATCTGAAAAATAGAATGGTAGTATGCACAGCCCATGCAGCTGATGAGAGGATGAAACGAGTCAAGATCCTTAAGACGTCCACTTCATGCACGCCTCAGAGTCTACATCTGAAAAATAGAATGGTAGTATGCACAGCCCATGCAGCTGATGAGAGTCAAGATCCTTAAGACGTCCACTTCATGCACATCTGTCTGCACACCCATGCTGGGAAACCCAGCCTGCACTACCTGACAATGCCTGTGACTGCTGGTCCGTCCTCTCAGCCAAAACCTGTCCCCCCCTTTAATTTGTTCCCAATGGAAGTGCTGCCCTCAGGGGCTACACCCACTTCTTCTGCTCCCCAAGACAGCTTTCTGCTGGACACCCGAAGCTCCTCGACAATTTTCCACAGAACACCCCTAGTGGGCAGCAGAAGCAGCCAGGCTCCTGCACAACTGTGTGAGATGAAATCCTTTTCCCTAATCAGTCACTGGGAATGTCGGCAGGCCTCTGGGAATCGTCCCAGGCTCCTCGCTGACAGTGGTGAAAGCCACAGACATCCCCCTTCCCATTTCCCTTCAAAAGGGGTCAGGCCCAGTGAAGGCACCTCTTACCGCAGTGCATTGTGGGAGTCTGAGAACCCATCCGCCTCTGTGTCCTTCACAATCATCCAGTCAAAGGCCAGCCCAGCCAGGGTGCTGAAGGTGTTCCCTGTAAGGGCAAATGGGGGAGGCAGAAACACATCAGAGTTAATTCCCCAGGGCCAAGGGGAGCATTCTGTTACATGCAGGAACCATGCTCAGTACCATCCCCTTGCAAAGCAGGTGCTATGACCTCCACATCAGGAAGGGGAAACCAATCAGAGTTAATTCCCCAGGGCCAAGGGGAGCATTCTGTTACATGCAGGAACCATGCTCAGTGCCATCCCCTTGCAAAGCAGGTGCTATGACCTCCACATCAGGAAGGGGAAACCAAGGCTGAAAGGAAGGAAGGCACCTGCTCCCCATCAGAACTGCAAGGGGCTGAACCAGAATTGGAACCCAGGCCCGTCTCAGGTGAAAAACTGTTCTTCCCACAGTACCTGCCTGCTTTCAACTGCTCACAACAGGCTCGTAGCACATAACACCATCACCCCTCATGCCTGTGAGCGTTTGACGTCTAGAAGGCCGCTCTGAGAACTGAGTCACTCACTCCTCACTGCCTCCTGGGGAGGAAACTCCTCCCTCCTACCCCAGTGCAGGGGAGGAATGAGGGGGCAGTACCCTCGACTGTCTGGTTCCAGGTGGCTATTCTCGTCTTGTCACCTTGACTGAGACTCCCAGGGTCCCAGGGGGCAGGGGACAGAGACCAGACCCAGCCAGACTCAGCTCAGAAGTCCTAGCTTGCTTTTACAAGCCTTCTGACCCACTGTTTCCAGATGAAAAATATACACACACAAGTGCCATTTCCAAGCTCTCTTGAAAAGCCCAAAGATCTGGATGCCTGGGCCTCACTCTCTCTTAGGACCAGCGACTGGCTCAGCCTCTCTAGAAGGGGCCATGTTCTCTGGTTTGCCACACTCCCCACCACACTCTGTTGTCCCACACCCACTCCACGTCCCTCATCCATATTCCCCGCCTGGCCAGCCCCCAAAATAGAGCATCTGGGGTCTAGAGAAAGTCCTTTTACAGTACAAAGGGTATGGTATTTAGAATCAAGCAGGGCTGGCACCCTGCCTTCCCCATGACGTCTCAAAGGCCAAATGAAGCAGTGCTTAGCAAAAGCTCCAGAAACCTGAGCTGTCCCCGCCATTACATTTCAGGGCATCACGAGTGAGGGGAGGCCTCTCGTCACAGTTCCCCGGGTGTCTGTCTATCTGCTTGGGCAACTGACCAGAGAAAAACAGAGAAACAAAGTCACCTGCTCACCCTGTCTATGATGAACGTGGGCACAGAGATTTTTTCTTAAGAGGTCTGAGGGAGAATTTTTTTTTTTACCGGTAAGGGGATCACAACCCTTGGCTTGGTGTCGTCCACACCACACTCAGCCAGTGAGCGCACCAGCCATCCCCATATAGGATCCGAACCCGCAGCCTCAGCGCTATCAGCACCGCACTCACCCGAGTGAGCCACGGGGCTGGCCCCTGAGGGAGGACTTTGAGCAAATAAAATGCCTGTGGTTTCTCAAACCCCAAAGCATTTTATTTTATTTATTTTTTTTGTCTTTTTTTGTGACCAGTAAGGGGATCGCATCCCTTGGCGTGGTGTCACCCGCAACGCACTCAGCCAGTGAGCACACCGGCCATCCCTATATAGGATCCGAACCCGCAGCGGGAGTGCCGCACTCTGCCAAGTGTGCCACGGGGTCGGCCCCCCAAAGCATTTTAACCAAAGTAATTTGTCTTCCTAATATCCACAGCATTAGGCGAAGCAGGTAGATGCTAAATCCACACCCGGGAAGGAAGGTGGCTGCAGGAGACCTAGACATCCTCCAGCCTAACCCGAGGACATGACATCCTGCTGCACCCCCATCACACGGGGGCTAAGACCCTTCTCGCATGCCACAGGGAGGAGCAGCTCACCACCTCCCAGCACAGCCCCTTCCTCTGCATAACAGCTCTGACCATGAGAATCTTCTTCCTCACACCGAGCCGAGGTGAGATGTCCACAAAGCAAAGGCTGTCTGGTAGCAGAGACAGGCAGGCTGACTGCAGGATGCTCAGTGAGGATAAGGAAGGGTTCTCCTGTGATCTCACTAGATTGTGAAATGACAACCAGAAATTCAATACGAAAGCCCTTCAGGCAGTCCACTCCCTTAACGCACATCAATCCACACATCACAGGAGTGTCCTGAACACCAACCCTGGGGGTTTCCACCCAGGCCACCTCCAAGTACCACTTTTCTCTTCTGTAGAATGAGAGTGAAAAGATCAAGCCATGGGGTTGTTGGGAAGATCAAATCGATAAATCACCTGGTACTGTTCACAACGGCCCTAACACGAACAAGGAGACAGTGGCAGGGAATCGTGTCTCCGACATTTCAGCCGTTGCACATGGAGCTCTGTTTTTCATTATCTTGCTCCCCCCAGTCTGTCCTGCATGTTCAAATGTGGAACAAGTGACAAATGTGTGATAACGCCAAGGCCAGAAAGTGTCCTTGGGCTTCCAGAAGTTTCGCCAACTCGGGCAGATGCACAAGCAGGACCAGCTGTGTAATTTTCAGGGCTCCATGCAGATGAAAAGGAAGGCACTCGGTTCAAAAGGTAGGGGAAAGTTCCAAAAGAAGGCAAGCCAGACTCAGGAAGGCTGCAAGAAGAAAGAAGAGACCCTGGGCACAGAGCCAGCCACAGAGTGCTCCTGCGGCGTGTGGGAATACTACAGGGTGAGGACAGAGCCTGGGAGGTGCCTCAGGGACCTGCCCAGCAACTCAGCTCATGTGGGCCTGCCAGCTGCTGGCCACTGGGCTCTGCTTCCACACCAGCCACTGGACCAACACACTGTTTCCCACCTGGGTTGGGCTCCGGGAAGTCAAGTCAGGTATCTCTCCTTCCCATGGCCTGCTGCACATCTTTAAGCCTGTGCACCAGGATGCCCTTGGTACCTGGATTGCGTGTCATGAGAGGCTCACCCTGGCTGAGATGCAGCCTCCAGACCAGACTGTGTTTAACTTTTGGAGGAGCAGCCACACTGCTTTCCACAGCGGCTGCACAGCCATGCCGTTTTCACGCTCCTGCCAGCAGCGTGTGAGGGTGCCAGTTTCTCCAAATCCTCGACGTATCACCATGCAACACTCCAGCCATTGGGGAGCATGCACCCAGCCCTCCCCAACCAGGCCCCATCGGGGAACAGAGGGTAGAAGTGGTGAGGGGTAAGGAAGGAGAGGGAGAGGCCAGGCAGGACCCGGGACACCAGGGGACAGGAAGCAGGTGGCCAAGAACCCATCCCAACAGTCAGGGAGTGGCAGGGAAGCAGGAGCAGGAATTACTGAGACTCCAAGCCCCCCACGTGCTCCATTGTCCCATCTGACTCCACTCAAGACACAAGTGCAAAGATAAATGTATTGCCAAGCACTAAACCAAGCCTAGGGCCCTTCTGAGCAGAAAGCCCTGTGTGAAGCTGGCGCTGTGCGCATGAGGAGACCAACTTGTGGCTGACAAAGTAAAACCACAGGAGGCCAGGTGTGGCTCATTCCCTGTGACCCCAATCCCCCCTCAGGGGAAAGCCCCGAGATGGACATAGGCAGTGAGGATTTTGCAGGTTTGCAGGGGATGAGAGGGAGTACAAAATGTTTTCAAGAAACCTCTGCCTATAGTTTTACTTTTTCCATTTAAAAGGTAGCTATTAGCACCTACTATGTGCAACAGACCTTGGTTGAAGCCTTATAGTTGAGTGCTAATGTTAACCAGGAGAGCCAGAGATCCAGTCTCCAGAGGACCCACCTCCCCTGTCCTGGTCCCAGGAGGCTGCAGAGAAAGATTGAGCAATTTGATTTAACAAACATTTGCCAAATTACCACTAGGACCAAAGTCCATTGTCAAACACAGAAGAATCCAGATGAATGAAGTGACCCCAGTTCTGCCCTCCAAGTGCTGAGCTTGACAACACCAAGAAGAACATGCCACGTGTCCTGAGCAGGGGCCAGTGAAGAAGAGCTGAGGGCCATCAGAAGGGAGGACCAAGTTCCGCCTCAGGCAGTCAGGGAGGGCTCCCTGGAGTGGGGAGCACCTCAGAGGGAATGTCCACAGGAACCCAGGAATCTGAAAGCAGAGTTCGGGAGGGGAAGGTGCTCGGGCAGAACATGGGGTATGAGGAAGGGTGAAGAGGGAGTCTTTGGTGACCCTGAGCTAGCATGTGTGGGCTGGGAAATTGCTGCCAAAACATCGAGTCTAGCGAGCACTCCGCAAAGGACCTCAGGGCAAAAAGGCAGACCCCAGCCACATGTGGATGGCCCCCAGCCCAGGAAACATGCAGCAGCAGGAGATGGGCAGTGGGGCTGAGTGGAAAAGAGCTCAGGTAATGGAGTTAGACATCCCAAGATCCAGCCCTTGCTTGGCCACCCATGAGCTGTATGACCTTGGACAAGTTACTTAAACTCTTTGGGCCTCAGCCTCCTTGTCTATACAATGGGCATCGTACCATCCATCCTTGTGGAGTAACAGACTGCACTTGTAAAGGGTCTAGCACAGTGCCTGGCATACACGGGCCATCCACCTAACAATGTTTGTTGAGCTACTGAGTCTTTTTTGACAAATACCCACCAATCTACATCATGTCCCTTCTGAGACTGCAAGGTCCTCAAAAGTTACAAGGGGCAAGCTCATCTTCACAAAGGAGACTCTGACCAGTAAAGAAGTCACAGGCTCGGGACAAAGGCAGAAGGATGATTAAAGACACCAGTCAAGGTACTTCTTTCTGGGCAGAGAACACCAACTAAAAAGCATGACAGCCTCACTGTGAACAGCGAGGAAGTGACCTAACCATTTATTTACTGCCTTGATGTGGGCCACTCGTGAATGGCCCAGTCTTTGTCACCAGATGACTTCCTACTCTGGAACCAGCTGCCATCAAAACGTTAGGAGTAGGGGAAAGGTGAGAAGTAACCATCACATGCTGCTGGGCATCTGTCTTGGCACAGCAGTGGGCACAGGAAGGCCACTCCTGACATTGCCACCAACTGCCTGAGGAAAGGATGCAAACTCAGGAAAAAGAGACTTAAAATGACTTATTAAAAAAACAAAAAAGGGCCGGCCCGGTGGCGCACTGGAGAGTGCGCC